GTAAAACAGCACAATGGCAGACGAAACCCTCTGACAGATCATAGAGCCTAGAGGACGACCGTGGGGACTGGAGAGACATGTCGAAGTTTTTTTTTAAATTTTTTTTAGTAAGAAGTTTTTTAATTTGTTTTATGTATAATGAAACAGTCCAAGACGGAAATGGCTTCTCCCAGTGCGGTTATGGAACAACCTAACATGGAAAGTGATTCAGGGGATACTTCGGTTGCCCAACTTCAAGAAATTGTCGTCCCTCCTTCGGAAGATCCGCATACAGGTTTTATTTAATTCACAGTTTATTTATCATCTCCCCTACCAATGCGGTTATGGAACAGCTTAACATGGAAAGTGATTCAGGGGATGCTTCGGTTGCCCAGCTTCAAGAAAATGCCGTCCCTCTTGCGGAAGATCCGCAGACAGGTTTTATTTAATTCACAGTTTATTTATCATCTCCTCTACCAGCGCGGTTATGAAACAGCCTAACGTGGAAAGTGATTCAGGGGATGCTCCGGTTGGCCAGCTTCAAGAAATTATCATCCCTCCTTCGAAAGATTCGCAGACAGGTTTTATTTAATTCACAGTTTATTTATCATCTTTCCTACCAGCGCGGTTAAGAAACAACCTAACATGGAAAGTGATTCAGGGGATGCTTCAGTTGCGGAGCCTCAAGAAATTGTCGTCCTTCCTTCAGAAGATCCGCAGACAGGTTTTATTTAATTCATAGTGTATTTATCATCTCCCCTACCAGCGCGGTTGCGAAACAGCCTAACATGGAAAGTGATTCAGGGGATGCTCCGGTTGCCCAGCTTCAAGAAAATGCTAGCCCCCCTTTGGAAGATCTGCAAACAGGTTTTATTTAATTCACAGTTTCCGTTTATTTATCATCTTCATCTGGCCTAAGCAATAATTATTGGATAATAATTAATTAGTATATTATTTTTGGCTGGATCCCAAAGTACACACCACAAAAAATAAGCAGAGACAAATCCTTCTTAAAAATAATAGATAAACTATCTTTTAAATTTTAAATTATCAATTAAAATAAAAACTCATTACTTAATCTGTAATGATTAATTTGTTACCAACCCTTTTTAATAGAAGTTACCGTATGGTGACATTAAATGTTAAATAATAAGTCTTTACTCTTTCTTTTTTTAGGGCGAGTTCTGTCTCTCTTCTCTTATTGGTTGTGGATTTAAGGAATTGGTCATTATTTTTCGTTTTGTAGGAAAAAAGAAAATTTTATTTTTATTTTAATTATAATGATCAGATATAAATCACAATAATTATTTCTTATTTCATACTCTATATAAACAATTCAATTTCCTTTGCCACTCGATTTTGGCAAAATTTTAACATCGTTTTGCTAACCAAACAGTAAAAATATTTTTCATTAAAAAATTTCTAGAATATTTCAAATAAAGAGAATAATTTCTTTTTAAAAAATAATTTTTCATAGAAAAATATTTTCTAACATGTAGTTATTTTCTACCAACTAAATGTGCTCTTGTATTTTTTTGCTACGTTGTTTAATTGCAATATCACTCCATCACTTTCATCTTTGATTCATTGAAAAGACAAGCTATAGCGAAGGTAAACTCCTGACTAGTCTGTTGGTTTAACACAAACCTCTTTAATTAGTTGGAG